CAAATATTCAGTTACAGATATACTACATACATATTGCTTTTGTAGAATAACACCAGTGCTTTTCAATTCACAAAGTGCCTGAGACTTTAAACAGTGGAGGCCTTTATCAACGAGTATGGAGAAATGTTAGATGATGGTAAAATTAATGGTGTTTTATTTATTTATATAATTTTTTCTCAGGTGGAGAAGGAGATACTACTAAAGGATGTAAAACAAGACATAAAGAGATGGAAATATATTTCATGTTCATGGATGGAGGAAATTGATGTAGTCAAAATGACTATACTACCAAAGGTGATATATAGATTTAATGCAATTCCCATTAAATTTCCAATGATCTTATTAAATTAAATAGAATAAAGGAAATTAAAATGGAACAATAAATTAGAATAGCTAAAGAAATCCTGAGAAAAATGAAACATGTTACCTGATTTTAAGCTACTCTATAAACCAAGTTATTAAAGCAAGATAGTATTGGAATAAGAACAGACAGTTGGATTAGTGGAACAGAATAAAAAAAAAAAACAAGAACTAAATCCATCCATATATCAATACCTTATCTATGACAAAAGGTCAACGACCATATAATGCAGAGAGGAGGGTCTCTTTAATGGGCAGCAGATTTGAACAGACAATTCTCCAAACAGTACATCCAGGTCAATAGCAATGTGTTCACCACTGTTTCTAATAAGGGACATGCTATAATCTCATACCATGAGGAATGGCTCATATTAAAAAAATTAAAACCCAAAAACAAGTGCTGGAGAGGATGCAGAGAGAAAGAACACTAATGGGCCTCCCTGGTGGCACAGGGGTTAAGATGCAACCTATGAAGCTATCCACAGCCACAGCAGCATGAGTTCGATTCCCAGCCAGGGAGATAACCACATGGCGCAGCAGACCTCTCCTGACATGCTCACTGATCCCCTCGGCAGTGCGTTTCAGTCAATCTGCCTGTTCTAATTCCCCCTCTGTCCCTGATGAATCTCTCACTCTTCACAGCTCTGGCCTATACCCCAGTTCTTGTATGCATAAATAAATAAATCTTAAAAAAAAAAAAGAGCCCTAATATTACTGGTGGAAATGTAACCTGGAACAGCCATTTTGTAAAGAGATCTGGGCCTGATACAGCCAAAATGGAAATACGCTATGACCCAGCAAACCCACTTTTGAGTATCTGAAGAACATGAAAACATCACCTTATATAACAGCAGCATTAGTTATTATTCATTGCAAAATTATTTATAAATTCTTTATAGCTAGGAGTTGGAAGCAACCTAAGCACCCACTGATAGATTGGATAAAGAAGAAATGGAATATCCACATAAAAAATACTATTCAGCTATAAGAATTTGTTGCTCAGTCTTCCAGTCTCTAATTGAATGTTCAAGTCTCTATTCTAGCTGTTGCTAAATTCTACCTAATTTTTCTTCATTTGTTAGACACATTTGCTTGTTCCATTAAAATGTAAGTTCTTGGTGACCCAGAATTACATTATTCAGTTTTTGACGAACAAGTGACAGTATGACCAACTCGTCTAGTTTGCTAGGTGAGGACTTTTCTGCTAGAGGATATAGAGGATATTTCTGACTTTAGCAATGAAAGAATTGCACCCTGAGAAACCTCTAGGGTAAAAGAAGGTGTAGAACTGCCCAGTGTACTGCACAGTTCAAAGCTGGTAGAAGGGTTCTAATGCATCTTCAGGATAGTCAAAAACTTTGGCTAATCTTTATGAGTAAATCTTTAGATGTTTCTTCAATATGTGGTCCATCACCTACGCGTTTCAGTTGAGAATACTGGTTAAGTATTGAAATTATCTATTTTCGTGGTGATCCTACATTGTGAAAATGTATAGCTCTTGAGGCAGAATATTTTGAATATTAAGAGATTGTTTAAAAAAATGGCTAATTTCAAAAGAAATAAGTCGAAATGCTGCTGAGAAGTGTTGAGTAGGAGGGAAGAAAACTAAAACAACCGAGGCCTATATTAAATAGTCACTTCATTAAAATTCTATTGGATTCGTTCCTTTGTTTCACACAACTGTGTATAATTATAGTATACAAAACCTCCAGATCTTCCTGCTATTAAGCATTTAAAAATATCCATTCCAGATTTTCAAAACAAGTTTCACATATACAGTAATTATATCACGGAAATGTGCAATGCTTGTATTATATTTATTATACCAGCTTAAATTTAGACTCTATCAGGTTTACTTGACAATTTCTATAACGATGCTCTGAGCATTTCCTGATAGGACAGGAAGTAATCCAATGGAAACTCACGTGTGCTTAGATAGCCACCTGACTTAGCAAAATATTCTAAGAGAAATAAGAAAAATAGTTTCACAACTGTGGGACAACCACAGACATACACCTTCTGCTATAATAACACATTTCCAGGCTGTGCAGTGAGCAACTAGATGCTGCTGGGGATGTCAAGTGCCACAAACCAGGGTTGAGATTTGGAAGATCTAGGTTCTGGAGCAGTTGAGATACCTGGTTTCTGACAGGGGGTTAATATTATCTGTTTATATAAGTTAGAATGATTATGAAAGTAACTTAAGTTGTAAAGTTGAAGCCTGATGAGACATTTTAAATCAGAGGTGCACCTCAGAATAGCCTGGGTATCTTCCAAAATACACACCGCCCCTCCTCCCACCCCAGTCCAATTAGTTCAGAATCTCCTATGGCAGGGATTAGGAATAAGCTTATTTTTTTAAAGGCCAATAAATATTTCATATTTACTGGCATTTTTATAATCTACAGGAACAATGCGAAGTCGTTAGTCATTCTAGATAGTAAGACTTTTCATGCACTGTTTTGGGAGTTCAATTGATGTTATTTTGTTAACTACAACTGAGGAAAATTTACTAAAATTAAAGGATGTTTCTTTAATTCATTATTTCCATTGCTGGAAATGTAGCTTGCAAATAAATTTACGACCTACACAGTAGTAAACCAGCTGCCAAAGTTTTCACAATGGAAAAAAAAGAGAAGAATTTACTTGTTAACAATGACTAGTAAAATTGAATCATGATACATACAAAGCATGGAATTCTATGCAGATATTTAAATAAAATGATAGTGGGCCCCGCTGGTGGCGCAGGGGCTAAAGTCTCAGCACTATCAAGCTATTGCTAGCAACTGTGGCTTGAGTTTGATCCCTGGACAGGGAATAGGCCCACATGGCATAGCAGATCTCTCCTGTCTTGCCTGCTGCTCCCCTTAGCAGTGTATTTCAGTAGATCCACCTGTTCTGCTCCACACTCTGTCTCTGGTGAATCCTCTTACCGCCACACCTCTGGCGTATACTCCAGTCCTTGTATGCATAAATAAATAAAAATAAATCTTTAAAACAGCAAAAAATTCCTTCTAGTTCTATCCACATTGCTGCGAATGACATGAAAGTTTATCTTTTTTGATTGCTGAATAATATTCCGTTGTGTATATATGCCACATCTTCTTGATCCAGTCATCTATTTTTGGGCATTTGGGTTGTTTCCAGGTTTTATCTATTGTAAATATTGTGCAATAAACATAGGGGTATAGGTGTTCTTTTGAATCAATGTTTTTGTGTCCTTTGGGTAAATACCTAGTAGTGGAATTGCCGGGTCATATGGCAGCTCCATTTTTAGTAGACTGAGGAATCTCCAGACAGCTTTCCATAGTGGTTGGACCAGTTTGCACTCCCACCAACAACGTAGGAGACAAGGAATTATGCTCAGTGAAATAAACCAGAGGGAAAAAGAAAAATATCAGATGGCTTCACGCATAGCAGGAATATAGGGAAACCAAATAAGACATCAGTGTAAAAAAAATAATAACAGTACAAAACACAACAAAGCAAAAATGGACAATTATAAATCAGAGACATACTTCAGGGGAGGAGGAGGGAGAGGGATCAGAGGGAGGGAGGGAGGAGCACAGGGGACTGAGGTCATGGTGCATGGGTGTATTGGTGAAGGAAACTCTATGGGGACTACCTCTGAGGGGGGGAAGCAGATATTGTTTAAAAACAAGCAATGATGTAAAATTTTTTAAAAATTAAAATAAAAAAACAATAAAAAAGAATGATGATGACAAAAGTATTTCTCATAAATTAAGTGGGCACAAAAATTACAAAAGGAGTATGATTTCATTTGTATAAATTTGGAAAGTGATGATGAGGTGGATTGAGTGTGTTTTAATATACATACAAATACAAATATAAATATTTTTCTGTAAATATACATAAAAAACTGAAAAGTTACTTTTGGGAGGGGAACTGAATAGGGAGGAAGGAGACATATGGCTTAGAGGCGTATTTTTATTTTATGCCTTCCAAACTACCCTAGGACCTGGATTTATTGATCTTACTTTGGATGTTACATCTAAATTGCAGGGACCTAATGAACAACTTATCTACTGTGAATGTCTATTCCCAGCTTATCAGCAAGAACAACTGGGGAGGTACAAAGTCTTGAGTACTGGATATAATTTATTAACTGGATTAATAAAAGTGTGGAAGGTCAAACATTTTTTTATATGAGGGACTTTTACACTGAAATATTGGAACACATGTTGGAGAGGTGTAAAAATAAATGCATGGAGGCTTGGTCGGGCTTACTATACCATTTTAAAGAGAATCAGGAATGAGCAAATGTAATCTAAGAGTGATTTGACAAGTGATCCCAAAATGTTATGTAATATTATCTTCACTCCCAACAGCCAAACATTTCAAATACTTGAGCCATTTATTATTCTTTAAAACTGTAAACCCTGCTTTTTACAGAGGTTATCACCACCTATGTAATCTTGCATATATGTATATGAAATTTATTTTCTAATAGTGAAAATGTGGTGACTTTGTCAGTTGCTATGATTTTGGATCTAAACTTATAAACAATAAATAAAAGGTTTAAGTCTCCAACAAGCTTAAAACCCCACCTGCCACTCACTGTTAGGGAGCCCTTTGCACACTCATGTTGGGGATTAATAGGGCTTCCTACTCTCACTTACGTCATGTAGGTAAGAAATGTGCTCAGGGGCTCCAGGGAATGATTCCGGAAATATTCAAATTCTCTGCAAAGCTTTTTCCTCATTTCCGTGTCAATTTTGGATACAGTAAGAGGATTTGTTTGGTTAGCCAAGAAGTTGCCATAATCGGTGGTTTGGAGATGAATTTTCAGGTCTGAAATGAAATGAAAACCCAAATCAGGTTAAATTTTGAACATACATGTATTGCCTTTATAACAGTAATTGAATTTATGATAACTTTATAATAAATGCATATTTAATCATTATTATCTTATTAGGCCTGAGCATAGGTCTACATAAAATTTAGACTTGAATGTTTCTCTCTAATGCAATAAAATATTCAATGTTAGTAAAAATATTCTAAAATATAAAAATGTTTAATTACCAAACAAATCTATAATTGTTTAGCAGAGCTAAAAGGACATTAATAAGCACATAGTTCAGAGATGGCAAATAGGTCTTACCAGAACCAGTTTAGTCATTTGGAAATAGCTGCTAGGAAAACTGTTGTGGATGTTAAGCCTATTCCAGCTGGATGGAAAAGAAAAGCTTAGTAATATTTACTGTGGACACATGTTAGAGAAAGAGCAATCATTAATTATCCTTTCATTACAGATGAAATTGAATCTCAATGGGACTAAATATTAAAGTTATATAATAGTAAAGTTTGAATGAGAAGATGGGTCTTCCTATTCTTAAATACAACATCATTTTCACTATTTATGCCAAGCATTCTCTAAAGGTAATATTCTGTTTGCCGGATAATTGAATCAAAATTCAACTTCATTTGTTGTTACTTCCTCCTGAATAAACCATGTGTTTCCAAACACCCTGACGTTTGTTAAAGCTGACCCCATCCTACTCTCTAGAATTGCCCCCACCCCATCTCTTTTCAGAATTGCTTGTTGTAATGTACCCATCAGTGTCTGCGTTATAACATTAAAATAAGAGTCACCAGTTGTTCTGTTGACAACACCATGCTGACAAAGAAAGAGAGTCATGGAGAAAGTTGTCATGTAGGATTCTGCTCAAAGAGTAAGATCCTGGCATGTTTATTGATAGGAGAACAAAGAGAAAAGGGTGGGTCGAACTGAAAATATGATTATGTTTTTTAGGGCTTTAGGGAGGATGAGTCTATGGATCAGGTAAATCATGCTCCCGGACCCCCAGCCATGGTTCCAATCTTATTAACAAGGTATTCCACTGATCAGTCTCTGGGAAGCAAAGTTCATCAGTCAATGCTCCCTACACCACCTTCCCAGTCATACCTGTTGCCCCAGGGCAATCAAGGCCTGCTATTGTTTAACTTGAAAGGATCATTTTAGGGTCTGTATGCTACATTTAGCAGTGATTGAGTGTTTATTATGTACCAGCATAGTACTAAGCATATATTATCTCATTTAATGCTCATGCCAATCCTGAGGGAGGAATGATTTGTATTCCCTTTTATAATTAAGAACACTGAAACTCAGAGAGGTTAATAACTTGCTCAAGATAAGTGATAAACTAGAATTCAACGCCAGGTTTATCTGAGTCCAAAACCTCTTAAAATCTTTATTTTATTGCCAACCTATCTATTTTTAAAATTTTTTAAAGATTTATTTTATTTATTTTTGCATACAAGAACTGGAGTGTAGGCCAGAGGTACAGGGGTGAGAGGATTCATCAAAAGACAGAGTGGGGAATAGAACAGGTGGATCTATGGAAACACACTGCTGAGGGGAGCAGCAGGTGAGACAGGAGAGGTCTGGTGCACCATGTGGATTAGATCCCTGGCTGGGGATTGAACTCATGCCACAGTGCCTGGCAATAGCATGATAGTGTTGAGACTTAACCCCTTCTGTCACCAGGGAGGCTCCTGTCCAGCTATCTAAATTAGGTCATTAATTATTTCATATAGCCTTAATTCTTCCAGGTAGAATTTGTAATCTCATGCTTCTGAATTTCAAAGTACTTTGATTATGGTTCTATCATAATACCCGTCACAGATATGATATAGTCTTAAATATGTTAACTCCAAAAAGGCAATTATATTATCTTGGTTATATCTTCTACCTGTGATTCCTTGAGTAGCACCCCATGCTTAAGTGTTATCAAACATCTGTATATCAAAAAAGTCTTTGGCAGCATCCAGCACACAACTGGAACCAAGATAACACCCTAGAGCTTACTGAAGCCTCCATTTAAGCATTTATTATACATTTCTCATGTACTATTAGCTATAGGACACCTAAAGATGGATCAGACATATTCTTTGTTCTCCAGGAAACTCACAATCTGGTGGATGAGGAGGTAACACAGACATATGATTCAAACAGTTGTGTTGAGTTTAGTGATAAAGATGAGGGCCTTGATTGATGGAACAAAAAATGAGAGCAATAGCCATAGAAATGGGACCTACAAAAGCCTGGGAAAGTTTCCTGAAGGAAGTCAAATCAAAGATGAGTCTTAATGTGGTGTTGTCAGAGTGGGAGGAAGGTATTCTATGTGTTAGAGCAGCGATGGTATACGAAAGAAGCTCAAAGCAGTTCAGTGTTGCTGAAGCACTAAGTAGGCGAAGACAGGGAAGAAATGAAGCCAGAGGAGTAAGCAGAGGTTGTCACAGGAAGTGCGTGGTATGCCATCCTTTATCCTGAGGACAACAGGAGCCACTGTGGGCTATTAATTACTCTAGTAGCTGGGGAGTAGCTGGATTTGCAACGAGGCACATTATGGTTCTTCAGTATCCAAGATTCGGCACACTGGCATTCTTTCCTCAGCATCTGGAGTAGGTTATGCATTGGAAATGCTCTTTATCTGACAGCAGAATCTATTTGCTCAATTACCTATTTAATTAAGCTAATTTTTAAAAATACTTTTTTCCATGTTTTGTTTAGCTTTTATTTTGGCAGTTCAGATTTTATACAGTTTGTCAGTTTGCATTCTCAGCATTGAGAAATATTTGCCAAAGGATGTGACACAAATGGTATTTCTTTCAAAACCATGGTATTTTGTCATGTGACATATGCTTCTTTTAAACAAAACAACTTTCAATTGCCAGTAAGATCCTGAAATTAAATGTCCCAAGTGTTTCAGACCCATAGAAATCTTGTGATACCATAGTCGTAGTTGGTGGAGAAGCAGATGGAATAGAAAGAACCTATTTCCCTCCAGCACCAAAACAACGCAAGGGACACTTGCTTTCAGACAAAGAAAAATCTTAGGATCTGAAATGTTTGTTTTGTGATAATGACAGACTTTGCCAATAATAATAACATAGCTTATAGTTCATAGTTTCAAAATGGGATTACATAATTATTTCCCAAGAGCTTATTTAAATAGGTGTGTGATGACTAGGACTTTGTGGTCAAATAATTTGGAATGAACAGACTTCTTAACTGTAGGAATTGAAAGCCTTTGATATATTAATTTGAGTGATTTCTTTGAAAAGCGGGTACAGAACCTCCCAAGTCACTGGAAAACAATGGAGCCACCCACAGAGCACACTTTGGAAAATTACACTGCTTTTTCATCCGGGGAAGTACTGTGGCAAGCGGTGTTTTTTCTTTTTTATTCAAGTGAGAAAATGGAATGTTTTCCAAACTGTGAGATCACTGCCAACTAAATCAATTTTATAGGTCCCAGACAGCAGTAGCATAAAAGGAATGCATTAGGCTATTCTAACAAATATCAGAGTGTATCACACAGAGTGGCATGTGCATACATGTGCCTGCCTGTGTGTATGCTGGGTGGTAATGATGGAGGAAAGCATAGAAAACCTAAAGGAGGGATCACAAGACTAGAACCTAACTCACACAAGGAGGTAGGGGGATTAGCGTAAACCCAGTTACAGAAATCAAGACCCTTAGGCATCAAAGCCCAGATCAGGAGGGGCAACACCCAGAAACTATCAGACTGTTATATAGGGAGTGTCAGGACCACAGACCTGAAGGTGAAGATATGGAGATTAAGGAATAAACCATCCACCCACAAAGATGAGCCCCTCCCTACTGAAAGAAGATGATGAAACTTAAGGCTGCCCCCACAACAGGGCAGCAGTCCTTCTGCCCACCTGTGACTATGCAGGTGCTTCGCTTCACCAACTCTCTCCCTCTGCAGGGCAGCAGCCTTCCTGCCTGCCTGTGACCTGTCTCTTCACTGACCTCCATCAGCAGAGGCAGCTCTCCTCAAGGCCACCCGCCTGCAACCATGCTGTCCTCTCTCAGCAAACCTGTCCCTTTTGGGGCAGCTCTTTCTGCCCTCTTGTGTCTATGCAACTGTACTTTACCTTTCTGCCCCTTTTCTAATAAACCTGCTCTTTCAAATATAACTATCATCTCTGTCTTGTGGAGAAACTCGCCTGGGAAACACACCACGTGCTGTTGAAAGGGGAGCTCTGGTGAAACCTTTCCCAGAGTGAACCCAAGGACCCCTGCACTCTAAACTCCAAAAACGACATCAGGAATGTACATGTGTCTTCTGCAGGTTGCTGTCACAGAGCCCAGGGAATTATCTGAGCTTATTTGGCTGTTGAGGAAGGATAAGCATCTGGGACATCATAGCTATATTTTCTCCATTAATTTGTTGGGCAGATCATTTTTAGAAAATGACGTCTGAGGTGTCTTTGGGTTTGTTTTTGTTTTTCTTTCTGTTTGGAGCTCTCTGTAAGTGATTATAGACCTTTCACACTCTGGGTGCGTTATGCCAAGGAAGAATGCTAGAAGTACCTATGAAGGATGTTATCCCTGAGCAATCTCCTGCCTTTTCCCCCAACACTGTGCTGTGCTGAACTTATGGAAATTATGTACTCAGTTTCCACATCTGCAAAATGGACATAGAATCTGTGCTTTCTTCTGGTTGTGGTGATTAAAGAAGATGTACATGAAGAACTGGCATATAGAAGCTACTACATAATGATATCTTTTTTCCTTCTTACTTGTATCAATCTACTTTCAAAAGAATTTGACTCCATGGGCCAAGGACTTTGGTTTTAATTCTCTAACCAGAATTTTCTCAAACAATGTGTTGGAATGCATCATTATATCTTATACTTAGATTTTAATAAATATACCAATATCTATAAAATCAGGTGTTTCTTCCTTCATTTTGGCTAATTCACTGCCGTCCTCATAGTGATGGGACAGCAAATCCTCTTAGTTCCTGTGTTACTCCCGG